GCGAGTCAACGATTGATGCATTGCGCGCAAATTGTTATTTTGTTTTTATTTTGTTATTTTTTTAAATAAATGCTTGCATCATTTTAATGATCAACAACAACAGTCAAAATAGAAGAGCTGCGTGAAGAAGGATTAGCAGCACTAGAAAATTGGAAAATTTGCTCCAAATCCCTGCCGCGTTTTGTCGGACCTAGCCGACTTTGGTCTGAAATGTTTTCTAAGAAAGAACTTCCTGCACATTATGATAACAGATAAGAATAAATAGCGACGCGCAACAGAATAGCTGATGCGATTATACTTTTGTCCAACCCCATCCAGCGAACGCTTGTGCAATTCTGTCCAGTTGATGTTTTTGCTACCCTGTCCAACTGATGCTTGTGCAGTTTTGTCCACGGGAACCTTGCTGTTAAAAGTGTCCACTGTATTATTGTTTGCTGACGTCGCATGTTACATTTGGTGCCAAAGATTTACTGTTTGTGGTTCTTCTGTCATTAATTTGGCTGCAAAACTTTTACTTGTCCATACAGGAAACTTAAATGTACGCGAGGACGAATTTATACGCGAAAAGGGAGTGCTGTTCTAAAACTTCAGCCGTCTAGCTTTTGTGGTTTCTGGTTTATTAGTTTTGGCACCAAGAGCTTCGCGTGGCCGCATGTGAAGCCTAGGCGCGCGGGCGCTCGATTTGAGACTGCGAGATTAGATTCTAACAAAAGTTTCAGCTTCCCACCCTCTCTGGTCCCCTTTCAAAAAACCACCAGCAATAACAAAACTTCCAGCATTGGGCCACAACTAAAAATTTTATTTTTACTGAAAAAAAAATAAAGTTTTTAGTCGTGGTACGATGCTGAAAAGCTTTATTTCCACTAAATTCGGCATATAATCCTGAGCAAACTTTTATCTGATAATCACAAAACAACACATAAGCATGAAATATCGAATCAAAGCTTTGTGTGAGAAGCGTTTTTCTCTGGATGTATATGTAAACTCATATTTAAAATTTACCCAAGCTCAGCCTAGTTTCTTAAACAATTCCTGCTGTTATAAGCTTCAAAAACAAAATTACTATTCCAACCACCGCTTCTCTTCCCTGTCCCTTCACTCGCGTCTTCCCCTTCTTTTGACTCATCCGCTAGTCCTGCTTATTGAACTGAACCTCCCGCCGATCTAGGCAATTTTATACCAGGTCAAAGGCAAAAAGACATGGAGAAGAAATCGGAAGATTGAGAAAGTTATCCATGGCCAGTAATCAGCAAAAAAGAAAATCTCCCACCGATCTAGGCAATTTTATACCAGGTCAAAGGTAAAACGAAATGAAGGAAAAAAAAACTGGAAGATTGAGAAAATTATCCATGGCCAGTAACCAGCAAAAAAAAAAAAAGAAATCAAGTAGAAGGGAAAATATGCAATAGTAAAAGTTATGAAGTTACAAAGATATAGTTACGGAAACAATAATTACGCGAATGTTAAGAAAGATTACTTATAGATTAATCTGAACCAGCAAAAACAGCGATGAGTGAAGGGTGTCTTTTTTTTCCAATTTTTATTAGCATAAAATCCTATAAAATCCAAAATCCAATAACAACAGTTATACACGATAGCCCTATACCGGTAACTCAAGCCGTCTTGGTACTAATACAAAATAGTGCCAGAATAATTTCAGTCTTTTAAATTCTTTTAAATTATATGCGCATATTCCGCCCAACGGCTATGACATGTACGATCAAAACTGAACCCAAATAACCCAAAGAAATGCGGAAACGGCAAGGAGACAAGCAAATACGGTGAATCACATCAAAGATCACTGATTTCGGAGACGAGCAGCCACGTTAAAGATCACTGATTCCGGATTCCTGCTGTAGGAACGAGCGGATACACTGGAGCAGCTCACGCTTCACTTCATCTGGTACTGCTCTTCGGGCACGTACTTGCACATCAGCCAGCACATCTTCCACTGTTACATTTTCTATCCCCTGCAGAGCACATCGGTGAAATTCTTTGTGTTTAGAATTTTGTTAAAGTTGCAGCACAACCTCGACTGTAATTTGAATATTTTATGAAGTTATGAAAAAGGTTGTAACTACAGGGAAAGTAATAATTTAAAGGAAATAAAATTGGAATGTTTCGGTGCATTAATAAGTCGCTTACATTCCCAATCAGTGCTGCAACTGGACCTCGTCAGTGTTACGGTTGCAGCAGAACTATTAGAAATAAATGGCAACGCGCACCAGGCTAGCCGGTGCGATCATGCGTTTTGTGCAATTCAGCCCA